CCTAAAAAGTCCAGAACAATTTAAATAATTAACAATGTTGTTATGTTGTTAAGTGCCATTGAACTGGTTCCAACTCATAGCGACCCTGTATTGGGTTCCCAAGGAGCAGCTGGCAAGTTTGAACTGCCAACCTTGTGGCTCAAACCGATCTGGCAGTTCAAACCAACCTTATGGTTGCTTATCCTACAGTGCCATACCAGAACTCCTAATTAACAATAAGAGTGGATAAATAAACTAGTATACTTAAATGGGTTTGAATGTCATCTGACTTTACCAATTACCTATGATGATCTAAAAAACATTTGGTTAGGAAAGAAAATATTTACAATTCTTTGTTTACAAACCATTGTAAAATTTACAATCCACTATGTTAATTTGTGTATAATCCTAGTCTACAAAATACATATATTCATGGAGAAAAAATAACTGGAGGAAATATATGAAAATGTTACTAGTAATTATCTCTAGATCATATGGTTTGTTTATTATTATTTTCTCTATATTTGTATTTATTTTCTAAGCACTCTTTAGTTGTTGGTGGTTGTGTGCCATTGAGTCGGTTCTGACTCACAGCGGCCATATATGGGGTTTCTGAGACTTTAATCTTCTCAGGAGCAGAAAGTCTCATCTTTCTCCTGTGGAGCACTTAGTGGATTCAAACTGCTGACTTTGCGGTTAGCAGCACAAATGCTTTGCCATCAGGGCTCAGCTAATGCTGCAAAGAAGGGAAGTACTAAAAGAAAAGTTATCACTTTTAGGCAGAAATGGACTCCAGTGCCACAAATTGGAGTCAGAAGTCTCAGGCTTAGTACAATATAGTTCAACAATCAGTTATTGAATGACTTTTGTGAGTCAGGCTTTGTGCTGTGTGCTATGGATAAGGCATGGGTTTGGCCCGAGAGACAGACTAAAAATCTACTTTGTCCCTAGATGTGCAAACAGTTAACATACTAGGCTGCTAACCAAAAGGTTGGAGGTTTGAGTCAACCAAGAGGGTCCTCAGAAGAAAGTCCTGGTGATATACTTGCAAAAAACTAGCCATTGAAAACCCTGTGGAACATACTTCTACTCTGACACAGATAAAGGTCACCTTAAGTAAGAAGAGACTCTATGGAAACTAGTACTGGTCACTATGGAAACTAGTACTGGTCACTATGGAGGTAATCATAACATGTTTGGGGAACAAGGGCAGAAAGGGGTGTTTGGAAGAGAGAGGGGAATGGGAGCTAGTCTCAGAAACTGTCTAATGAAGATACTAGACTCTCAACTCTACTTGCTTTTGATCTTGGTTCAGTTATTTCACCTCTCAGCCTCTCAACTTCCTGTCTGTAAAATAGAAATACGCATAACACTACCAGCTCTTATTATTTCACCAAAGTGTGATTTTTATGATTGTATTGAGAAATAGAAATGTGTCTGGAAATTGTGAAGGACTATCAGAGCCTTATGGGCTTACTCTACAGGCTGCAAGAAGGGGTTGCAGAGAAGTCTTGGTTTAATGATTAACAGAGCAACAAGGCCTAGGGCCATTTGGATGACAATCCTCTTGTGTCTGGATGACAATACACTTCTCCCTTCCTCTGAGCTTAGCAGCTATTTTGTGGTGTGTTATTGCTAAAAGGAAGTGCAAAAAGCTGATAGCAGGGTAAAATGGGACTCAGCAGGAGAACTTCAGCTTTCACATTGTTGAGTCCCCTCTGGCTCTTCCTGGCTTCAACTCAGAAGGTGACCTGGAATCACCACATTTTATGATCCAGAGGAAATGGTCTGCCATTGAGGACCCTCCTTTCTAGTATATTGAAATTAACAAGGCTGTGTACTGTCTGGAATCAGATGGGGGCACTTGTAGTATGGTAGCAATGGTATTCATTGTGTTCTTTGGGTTTGGTGGCATCTCCTGTTGGTTGCACTCACCAGACATTTCAGAAGAAAGGGAAAAGGCTCCTCATTGCATGGCCAGTCTCAACCCTTGTTTGAGAAGTCTGCTTATTCAGAAAAGCATTAACAGCAGAGATGAGATTTGGCAGTTCTCTAAAATGGGCAGGTTCTTGCTTCTCTGGGGTGCTAGGGCATTCTCCCAGGAATTCTTGCATAGAGTGGTTGGTTCATTCTCAGTTTCTCTCTCCCTTTTCTCCTCCTTACCTCCTTTCTCTTCCCTCCCTTCCATCTACTCGTTTTCAACAAACATTTATTGAGAATCTATTATGCTTCTGACATTGTTTAAGGCACTGTGGAGAAAACAAAATATAAATGTCACTGATATTTTAGATTAATATTATAAACCTTTGGAAAATCTATGTCTTAGTTATCTAGTGGTTCTCTAACAGAAATACTACAAAGTGGATGGCTTTAACAAACAAAAATTTATTTTCTCACAGTTTAAAACACTAAAAGTCTGATTTCAGAGCCCCGACTCTGGGGAAAAGTCCTTGTGTCCTTTCAGTTTCTGTAGGCCCAGCATTCTTTGGAGCTCTCCATGTGTCTTGACATCAGTTGTTCCATAGGAGGTTCACAATGCAGGAACCCAGGTCTAGAGACACACTTCACTCCTGTCTATTCTTTCTTTGTGGTAGTGAGTGGGTCCTTCTTTCTCTGCTCAGGTCTGTCTCCTTTTATCACTTGTAAGATAAAAGGTGTTGAATGCCACACCCTTGAGACTCTCCTGTACATTGAATCAGAGTCATGGTGGAATTAAGGGTTGTGTGTATAGTGGTGTGGCACTGTAGGATAAGCACCGTACTGCAAACTACAAGGTCAGCAGTTCAAACCCACCAGCTGCTCCTTGGAAACCCTATACAGGGTCACTCTGAGTTAGTACCAATTCGATGGTACTTAACAACAACATCCTCAATATGGTGGGCTTGAACTGCCAACCTTGTGGGTCACAGTCTAGTGCTTATACTACAGCACCACACCAGGACTCTATATTAAGGATACACAACCCTTTGGTTTACTACATCATTATTATTATGGGGATTATACCATCGGGAAACGTCATATAACTGCCAAACCACTGAGAATCATGGTTCAGTCAAGCTGACACAGATTTTGGGGAACACAATTCAATCCATGACAGGGAAGACCGTCAGGTAAGTATTCATGGGAATCTTTCAGGTAAACCCACTGCCCACGTCTGTAGAGTTGATTCTGACTCATTTTGTGACACAACTGAACAGAGCAGACCTGCACTATCAAGTTTCCGAGTCTGTGAATCTTTACAGGAGCAGACAACTTCATCTTCTCCTGCTGGTGGGGTTGAACTGCTGACCTTGTGATTAGAAGCCCAGCGCTTAACTCACTGTGCTACAAGGGCTTCTTTCAGATAAGGCTCCCTGGAAAAGGTGCTGAATTTTATAGGAGAGCTAGAATTTAGAGCTGTAGAAAGAAAGATAATTCTAGGTGGAAGGGACAGGCCCAAACAAGGCCATGAAATGGGGACTATGGAATATGTATCAAGTGGGGGTACAGTGTGAGCTTCCAGAGTGCACAGAATCTGCCTGCTTTTGTTTTTACTTCTTCTGTCTTCCAGGGGATTGATAAAACCTCACTAGCCATGAGAATTCTGTTTTCTAACATAAAATGTCTCCGATTCTGAAGGAGTAATCTCTCTACAATTGCAATTGGGTTCTTCCAAAGCTTTTGACCCACTGACGAAAGAATTTTGTCTTAAAAAGATGACAATGAAAACACTAAGACTTTCAGGGATTTTTTTTCCTCCAAAGTTACAGAAAGTATTAAAATCATAATTATTGTTAAGTGCTGTCGAAGTGTTTCGGACTCATAGAGACTCTGTATAGGGTTTTTGAGAAGTTGTTGGTGGGTTTGAACAGCTGATCTTGTGGTTAGCAGTCAGTGCTTATTCTACAGTGCCATTCCAGGACTCCAAAAGCATAATTAGGGACACTCTTCTTGTTCTTCTTTTTTAACCAGCACAGTCTTTCTTTGTGATAGTAAATAAAACCATCTTATAATTGCATTTACAGGCCTTTAAGAAGCTTCAGTGTATACTTGTAAAAGCCAACAAGTGTCCTGAGAATGTGGACTAGGTCTTACATACTTTTGTAACCCTAATGTAGTGCCTGAAAGTATAGTGATGATTTAGTGGTAGAATTCTTGCCTTCCACACAGGAGACCTGGGTTCAGTGCCCAGCCAGTGTACCACATGTGCAGCCAACACTCTGACTGTCATTGGTGACTCGAGTGTTGCTATAATGCTGAACAGGTTTCAGCAGAGCTTCCAGACTAAGACAGACTAGGAAGAAAGGCCTGGTGATCTACTTCTGAAAATCAGCCAATAAGAACTCTTGCTCACAATGGTCTGATCCATAACCTAACTAACTCACTGTAGGAACAGTGCAGGACCAAGCACATGGTTGTACACCTGGTTGCCTTGAGTCGAAGCTGACTTGATGGCAGTGCTTTAGGAAAAGCACTTAATTGTGAACCACAAAGCCAGTGGTTCAAACCCACCAGCTGCTCCCTGGAAACTTCACATAGAGTTGCTATGAGTTGGAACTGCCTTGACAGCACTTAACAACACAAAATATGGTGCTTTATAATAGTGCTTCATAAATTGGTTGGGAATACTGGTGTGGCCCTGTAGAATAAGCACTTGACCACAAGGTAGATTTGAATCGAAGGTTGACAGTTCAAATTCACCAGCTGTTCCTTGGAAACCCTACACAGGGTGGTTATGGGTCAGACTCAACCACAACAACACAACATAAGTTAGTTGGCCAACAGAACAAACATAACATATCTGGACTACTATGGGAATAAGAATAAAGTGGAAACAGCCCTATTATCCAAGAAGCCACACTGAGACAAAACACAGGAAGCGATTTACTTCGCCTTTCTGCCAGAATTTTTGACAAGTTTCTCTTCAGATCTTTTGGCCTGTGGTGAGCTCTGCACAGCTTTGGCAGAGTGTGGTCTGCCGTGTCTGCCACATGGCTGCTCCCCTGCAGTGCCAAGAGATGAGACCATTTGGAGACAATCACCTTCTGTCTCTGGGCTTTGACATCTGGAAGGTGGACGACCAACAGGCCTTGGCCAGGCCTCTTGGCCCTTCAGCTTGCCGCATGTTTGTTGGAAGCCGTTGTTCAGGAGAAAAGCCACAGCAGGAAGGTCACCTTCTGGACAAATAATTCTGGTCCAGGGGCACCAGATGCAATAGGGGTTCTGAAGCAATGAGCAAAGGAATAAATATCTTTGTTTTAAAAGAAAGTACGATTTTGATGGAGCTGTGGTTGTCCTTTGCTCACTCTGTAGAGAAGCAACTAAAAAGAGCTTGGTTAGAATCCAATTTTAGTAATTAGTTGTATTCACAATAAGGCGTGTTAATAGGTCCCATGTTGAGCAGGCAGAATTCCCTATCTCAGGTGCCAAGTGCAATTAATGAAATCAACATTTAGGTCCCACAGGTAAATAGCCATTCTGTGTTTGTTCTCATACAGCTATAGGCAGGCACTTTGTTCTCTTAGAGCTCTAGGCACCCCCACCCCCATAGTATCTCTATCATGGATCAATAGACTATAAGCTCCAAGAAGACAGGGTTCATGTCTGTTTTATTCATCACTATTACAGGGTCGCTATGGGTCGGAACCGATTCGACGGCTCTTCACAACACAACAATATCCTCAGTGCCTGGCATCTGTGTTAGACTGCAAAAACCAGATATCATTCTTTCACTCCCTGAATCCTAACTTCTTACAGTTAGGTGTCTTGCAGTTCTGTGATTTTGCAGTTCCTCCTGGCTGTTCCTCACTTTGTAGAATCATCACTGCCTTGTGATTTGCTTTGGCCATACAATGTGGCAAAAGCTATATGCTGTTACTTCTGGCGTAGGACTTTAAAAGACATTGTGGACTTCTGTTCTTCCTCTATGTTAAGGAGCTTGGGCTGGCCTCCTGGAGGGTGAGAGACACATGCCCAATCAGCCTCATTGCCCCAATTGACAACCTGCCAACCCCCTGAAGTATAGCTGTCTAGAAGACCAGTACCTAACCACAGATGTATGAGTGAGTCCAGCTGAGACCTGAACAACTGTCCATGTGATCCCAACCCAAAAAGCCACCTAAATAATTATGAACGAAAGAAATGGTGATTTCTTTCATTCATAAAGCTTGAGGTGGTTTGTTAACTTGCAAAATCTAATTGGTAAAGTATCAGTTAGTTGAGATACGGATGAATTATTGGTTAAAAGTGATGTGACCTTAAACCATTTGTCTAGTCACTTTTCTTTTATCTTGTTTTATTTTCTTCCTAATGCTGATCACTGACAGAAATTTTGTCCATTTGTTGATTTACCATCTCCGTTTATAGTATATAAACTTCATGTGGATAGAAGAATATAGTGCCTAATTTATCATTAAATTTCTGTTGTTGTTAAATGCCATCAAGTCAATTCTGATACATAGCAACCCTGTATAGCGTTTCCGAGGAGCAGATGGTGGGTTTGAACGGCCAACTTTGTGGTTCAACGTTGACCTTGAGATCAGTGCATTATCCTACAGTGGTACACCAGGACTTCTTAATGTCTACAGCCTAGACAATTCTTGGCATACAGCAAGCACACAATAAATATTTGAATGAGTTTAATTAATATCACTTATAAAGAGACTAGCTGAGCAAAGAGCTTGGGATTTGGATAGCATCTAATGCTCTTGTTCTTTGTGTGTTGTCCTTAAATCCTTATTAGTACTTATTGAAGTCAGGCAAGTGAAAATGAAGGCGTCTACATTTGTAGGAATTCCGCATGTGGTACAAATGCTTAATGTACTCAGCTGCTAACCAAAAGGTTGAAGGTTTGAGTCCACCCAGAGGCACCTTAAAAGAAAGGCCTGGTGAGCCGCTTCTGAAAAATCCACCACTGAAAATCTTGTAGAGCTCAGTTCCACTCTTGCTATATATGGGGTTGCCATGAGTTGGCATCCACTCAGCAGATTTTTACATTATGAAGAAATTGTTATATTTTCTTTCTAGTTTCTTAGGCCCTGGCATCTCTCTCCCCAATAATTCTTAATAATCTGTGTGTAGTTGAGGAAAAGCTTTAGTTTGGTTAAATTTTTTCTATTAAAAACACAATCACCAACAACATCAGTAGCAACAATAATAACAAGCCTTGTTTCGATGATTCCTTTCTCTCCCTTCCCTTGCCCTTTTCCAGATACTTATCTTGTGGTGGTGATGGTTGTGTGCCATGGAGTCAGTTCTGATTCATAGCAACCATGTATAGGGGTTCTGAGGCTATCTTTACAGAAGCAAAAAGCCTCATCTTTCTCCAGTGCAATGGCTGGTGAATTTGAACTGCTGACCTTATAGAAAACAGTCTCAGTGCGTAACACACTACAACACCCACCAGAACTGCTTAGATATTTATCTTAGTCTCTTGGTATTTACTTTTAACACTATCTTGTATTTATTTTCTACCTTAGATCTAAATAGATGAAGAAATGACACAGAAAATGGAGACTTGGAGGTAGAGTTTCATTTTAAAATCAAAATTATATTCATTTACTTGCTAATCAATAACAAAACTATAAAGCACTCTTTTATAATGCACTAAATGAAGTCTATCTCATTAAGTTCAAATTCACCAGTCATTCCAAGGGAGGAAGACTTGATGGTCTGCTCCCAGAAAGATTTACAACCTTGAAAACCTTAAGGGGGCAGTTCTACTTATAGTCAAGGTGAGTAGGAAACAACTCGACGACAATGGATTTGGTGGATTTTGTTTTTTTTTGAAAAAATATTATTAGTGAACTGATCCCTAGGTTTTGTAAAGGACAAAATATATAATTAATATTTCATTTTGAAAAAAGGGATACAATATAGTGAGTGTATATATTTTGACTTAGGTTACAATCTTGGGGAAAAAATATCAAACACAGGGTAGACTTCCTTTTGCTTTTATGATCTAGAGCTCCCACATCTAAACAGCAATTCAAATAAAGAAGTGAACTAGAAAGCTTCTGAACTCCTCATATTAATGACACTGTACTTCTAGGGTTAAAAAATTATTTAAGAGACAAAGGAATGAACGAGTTTCTAGTCTTTAGGACAGGGGGAACAGATCAGGGAGATCTTCCTGTCTGCTGTCAGATTGCCCCTCCTGGGTACTACCAACATAGTTCCTTTCTCTTCAGGTTGGTGCTGACCGTGAGCCACACATGTCATATGTGACATAAAATATGGGTTGGAGGAATGCCTAGCACTCATGAGACCTCACATGAGAGCTTCAGCTGAGCTGATTAATTCCCTTAAATCTTAGGACTGGGAAATTTCTGGTTTACTAGGACCTTCCCCCACCCCTGCACCCCCCACACCCCACCCACTTTTTCTTTTCAAGTGGAGCTTGCACGTGAAGTTTCTCTTCCTTAGTGTATCTTCTAGGACAGCTTTTTAAACTTTTAAACCAGCCTGTGGGGCACTGTTTTCAGGGGGTAAGAAGAAAAAGATGCCAAGGAAGTGCCACCTGCACTTCTTCCTGTCATTGACCTCATCAACAGAGATTTATTAAGCCCTGACTTGTGCTTAATCTCCTCTAGAGTCTAAATTTAATGTTGAGAAATCTCAGGCCTTAATGGACATCCAAGAGTTTAGGATTCATTTGTAGATAAGCCTTACTGGCAATTCAAACATTTGAAGACAGAATTCCACATATTCTTCTCAAGCTTCTGTTCAATTACTATCATTTTTATGGGTTTAGAAATTGAGCAGAGTAGACTTACACTTGCTGAGTCCATTTTTATAAAGACCTCACTCGAGAAAGACAATGTAGGTGGCATTTTTCAGTGAATTCTTTTCTTCTGGGCAGCACACCCATCCTCTGTTTCACGTTAGCTCATATCAGTGCCAACATGTAGCCAAGACACCCAGGTTCTGGAAAGCCCAATGACAAGGATCAACATGCAGATGACAGAAGTGCCACAGGAGGATATGAGCACTAATTAGAATACTTTTCCCTGACCACAGATAATGATCCTTTTTTTTGTTCACATCTGGAGTAAATCCCCTCACTAGATTTTCATACGCTGACCCATATCTGAGCATCTGGATGACTGTTATTATGCCAGAATTAGCCTTTCCAATTAAAGAAAGTAGTGAGTCGCCTCTGTGTTATGATTCCCTAGTCATCTGCAATAGCTGGATTTAAAGAGGGCTTATGAAACCATTCCTAGAAGGAAGAAGCATTAACTATGACATGACCTCTTGAGCATGTGCAGAAGTTATGAGTTCAGCAAGGGTAGGGACACACTTAAGTATTTTGAATTGACACTTCATTTCCCTCCCTCTCCTCACTGTACTGTCTTTGTGCTGAATTAATGTCACTTTAAACTAGTTTTTAAATAAAAATTTATGGATGGCAGCTGAGGTCCTTTTTAAGGTCTTCATGATTGGATTAAAATTCTTGCGTGCCTGGAAAATTCATTAATATATGTACACAAGCCCCTTGCATGTTATCTGTGTTAGAAAGGTATCAAAGAAGAAACTCTTGCACTGCATTCGGAGTGAAAGGAAAACAGTTTTATTGAGGAATAATACAGTTCTTCTTGGGTGATTTTATTATAAGTTGTGCTAAGACTAAAGGTTTAATTATGCCCAGGTTTTGTTCAGATCCAAAAAGAGTTAATTTATCAATGAGTATTTAGTAATTTTGATTTCCTGGAAAAATTAAATCTTTCTCTGTTATTCTTGTATCCATAGATCAAGAGCAACCCAATCAGATTCATGTAGTAGAGAGACCCACCAGAGATGGCTAGACTGGCTTGAGGTTGGGAAGGCACCACATGTCCGACAATCAAACCTGGTAAAATGATGAGCATGATCAGCACCTCTCAGTCTCGGAGTACAGTAGTGAAGGTGTGACTATAGCAAAGGAAAGGCAAGGAAGAAGTGCCTTGCTAGGTTAGTCCAGTGTCTTGGGCCAGCTATCTGCTTCAGATATCATCTGATTTTGACCACAGGGACATTTAAATGCCATTTTCAACTCTCTGATGTGTTTTCTGGTCCTAAGAGGAGTCTTAGCATTTTTTACTGTGACAAATGAATACAAGGATTTATTTTCTATCATTTGGCTGC